AGTGGTGTTTGTAAATAGGATCACAAGTCCGCATCTTGTACAGCAATTAACCACTAAGAAGAATATATGCAGTGTATTATTTGTTGAAACTGTACTTCTGATTTGATTTAAAACTGTCTCATTGCTATCTGTTTATCAATAAAACTTTGAAAAATAAAGGGGGGGAGGAAAACAAACAAACAAAAAAAAAATATATATATATATGTATGTACACACGAGAGTTAAGATATACAGCTACTTTCTCTTAGTTCACTGAGAATTAAAGTTTGTATTAATATTTAGATATCATGTCTGCATCTTATCCTCTGAATTACTACTATGAAAATAATATGCAATGTATTAATTATTGTAAAAGTCCTACTAACCTGTATTGAAAGTTTCGCTTTTCTCATTAAAATGAATTAAAATTTATACACACACACACACACACACACATATATATATATATATATATATATATATATATATATATATAGCGTGTGTGTATGTGTATACATACAATACACACATATTACCCTGCACCTTTTCTCTCACTTGTCTTCCAATTTATTTGACTAGAATCTTATCAATAATTCTATGTTTGGGGCCAGGGATAGAGCTTAGTAGAATAAGTGCTTGCCTGGCAAGTGTAGGGTCCTGAGTTCAATCCCTGGTACCGCAAAAAAAAAAAAAAAAAAAAAAAAATTCTACAACGTTCTGTGATTTCCACCATTTATATTTTTGAGACTGACCTTAAATTTAACTTCCCAGCTTTAAGACAAAAAAGAGACACCAATAGAGAAAATAGGGACAAAGTGAAAATATTTCATATCTAAATCATTCACTTTTGTTGTATACTCAGTCATATTTCCAGGTTACATGGATGAAGGACTTGCAAAGAAATCAGATTTCAAAGCCCAACTTCCAAAGCATGAAGAAATAACAGAAAACAGGGAAGCACTAAAGAAGGGTTCTAGTGAATCTTTGGCAACACCGAAAAAGGAGTCAAAGAGAAAAGCAAAATTCACTGAGTTTGAGAAAGACAAGATTGGAATGGAGGTCAAGGCAAAGAGTGATGCTGAAATAATAAAAGAACCGGAAGCCCCAAAACAGGAAATAAAGAGTGAGATGGAAGTACCGAAAGCACCTGAAGCCCAAGTAAAGAAAAGTGATCCAACAGTACCCACAAAACAGGAATCTGAGATACGAAAGAGTACCGAGAAAGTACCAAAAGCCCAGGAATCCCAAGTAAAGAGTGAGACAGAAGTACCAAAAGCCCAGAAATCCCAAGTAAAGAGGGAGACAGAAGTACTGAAAGCCCAGGAATCCCAAGTAAAGAGTGAGACAGAAGTACCAAAAGCCCAGGAATCCCAA